AGTGGAAAAATTTGTCTATTGAACAGTAAATGATTTACGAGCACCGAATGGTTTGATTGGTTTGGGCTGGTCTCTCTGTTTGCTGTACGCCGCTTTTTTTTCTCGTTCAATTCGGTTTTTCTTTTCTTTATCTGGTGATAGGAAAAAAAGGGCCGTTTTCATTTGGCCGTCTGCATTTCGTATTTTATTTTGATTGATTCATTGATTCAATGATTCCAAATATACAATTTAACACAACGAAAAATGCGTTAAATTGAAAATCCAATCAAACGGAAATTCGAAGCCGCCGAAGTGTTTCTCGAAACCAAAGAAAAACATACTCGAATTTTTTCCTTGCTGCTTCACAACACTGTGTGTGTGCAGAGAGTGGAATCGATCTAGAAAAGCGAAAAAAGTCACAACACAGCGTAATATTGGAAAAGGCGTGCTTGACTTGAAATTAAAATCGACGGTGTTCTAATGGGCTACCAAAGTAGGAAGACAGTTGTACGCAAATATTACCAATAACGGAAGCAGCCGCAGTCGCTTCTTGTACGAGTGAAAGAAGAAAGAAAAATGCGATTTACGATGTGGTTCGATTGGTGAGAGGTAGCAATCGAAAGAGAGCATCACGTAAGTGATCTTTTGGAATTGAGAGACAATTACATATTACACACAAACACACCACGCACATGCAGGAGATACCGGGCTGAGAAGTGACGACGCAGCACCAGAAATGAGTATCACCATTACATCATGTCAATCGTAAGTGATTCGCGCACACCAAATCAGCACCACCATTCGAAGTGTATCTTTTCTTTTCATTACACTTATCGCGCGCACATTGGATAGATTTCTCTCGCTTAGGCTATTTATCTTGATAGATCATAGCGAGCTGATTGAGAGAGAGCCCAAGATTGCTCAGGAACGCGCTCACGCTCACTTAAAATAACCATACCACAATCGCTGCTGGGCTACCATAATAAGTAGAGAACATTGCCTCGTAGTTACTGTTACAGCGATGCGCGGCGGCATCGTGGTTAAGTGATCACACTCTCGTTCACGTGCGCGCGCGCCCAATTTACATTATCCATCTTGTTCTTGCACTGAACCGCGCCGTGTGTATGAAAAAAAAAGAAAGCAGAAAAACTGAACTTCATTCTCTCTTGCCCTGTGCGACCGTGTGATGAAGTGTAAAAAATATTATATTACCCGGTTGAGATAATTGTCTGTTCGCACTTATAATTGAGCTCTGGTTCAATTGATTTCGTTATAATTCACGGCCGATTTTGCTCTCTCTCCATCTCTTCTATCTCACCCGAAATGTAGAAGGCAGCACAGAGAAAGGGAGTGTTTGTGTGTGAGTTGGTTCGCTGTTCTGTCATTAAATTACAATAAACATTGGGCGAATGGTAGTCAGTTGGTGATTAAATTTCATCAAAACCCATTAAATTACAATTGATTCTGGTAATTCGGTGTTGATGCTACTGCTGCTGCTGTGGCTCAATTTCCAACCGTGCCAAAGTAAATTGGGTGCTCTCTTCCATTCACTCGCATATTTTTATTTCTCGTTTCACGACGAAAAAATAGATTTATCGATTTTTCGAATCGCATCAATTCGAGAAATAAAGGCGCTCGAAAAATAGATCAGTTTCAGGGTTATTCCTAGGCGATTGTTTTTTGGTATTCCATTTTTGATGTGTTCGTTGTTGTATGAGACGAGAAGTGTGTGCGCCACGAATGAAACGTGGTGACGGCACTTCGTTACACAAACAGTGCACTGGGAGTATTGAGCGCGCACCCAACCAAAGCAGGAATGTGGATAAAGCGCAACCGATGAATAAATCTGTCAATGCAGCGATTTTATTTCTAGATAAATAATATACACATACCGATGCACGCACTTTACTCAACTTTCAATCTATTCGAATTTTATATCAACGTCGCCGAACGATATGTATATTGCGGCTCTCAAATGCGGCGCTCCAAATTTACACTATGTTTTTGTTCCTCGTCTATTTTCATAATTTCAACAATCGAGTGAACAACAATCGAACCGTTTCAATTCGAGTTCGATTGCATTATTTTTAGTATACTTGATGAAAAGTGCATCAAATGACGATACACACAGACACCGAGAGAAAGGGAGAGAGAGAGAGAGAGAGAGAGAGAGAGAGAGAGAGAGAGAGAGAGAGATAGAGAGATAGAGAGATAGAGAGATAGAGAGATAGAGAGAGCAATCCAATAAAAACAAACGAAAATTTTCAAAAACAAATGGAACGTTTGACATGCAGTTTAAATTTCCATTAACTGTAAAAATTTATTGAAATTTAATATGTGTTGAGTGTTTCGTATTTAGTTCAGGCATTTGTTGCCTGTTGTGTTCTTCGAAATTAGCCATAAATGATCAATCTATGTGTTGTCTGATTCGATACTATCGAATTTTGTGCGTTTTTAAATACGGTGCATTCAATGGGATGAAAATCAATTTCAACGTGTCGAACGACGATGAAAGAAAACACCGTACCGAGGGGCAGAGAGCGAGAGAGAGAGAGAGAGAGTCAAGGATTTGAGAATTTCGATATATATTCCATGTGTTTCTTTTTATTTCACTTGAATGTATGTATATATGCTTTGGATCAATTGGTTGCTTCTTTGCATTTCATGCAATATACACCGTGTGGATCTTTATCATTGGCCCATGTTCGGTGTCGACGCGATCGATGAAATTTTATTCCATCGAATTCATGCAAACAAAAACAGAGATGAAGAAAAATAAATGTGCGTCTGCCACCAGCAGTAAAATTGCGCTGAGAAAAACACAGTTCCAAACGTGTGAGTATCATTTTCATCATTCAAATTCTCCGAAATCGATTCGATTGCAGATAGAAACTGTGTTTTTTTCTGCTTTCATCTATCATTGTAAACCGTAGATTCCTGTTTTCGTTGTTATTGGTTATTGCTGCTGCATAATTTTTTGCGTTTCGTTAATCTTTTACTTGTTTTCATGCATGACTTCAGCACACATCAACTGATATTTGGGTACAAAATTTGAAATTATCATACGACAAGCGAAATTTTTTTTAGCACACTTTGCTTTTTTCGGGAAACATTTTCTTTTTCGTTGGAACCAAAATCAACCATGATTGTTGGGGCTTTCTTTTCGTTTTGGCCAAACAATTCGCCGCCAAGCGGCGGCATGCAATTGTTCGTATCGAAACATAAACGAATGCTCACAAAATTAAATAGACCAAATGCTCGCTATCAAAAACGACAACAAGGCTAAACTAAGAAAACAAATTAAAAGATTTTTGATTTTAACTCATTTTTTTTCATTTAATAAAAATGGGTAGAGTCGTGTTTAGCGGTTCTGCTTTTCTGTTCGTGTCTCATTGGAAATAAATGGCCTTTTATTAACTTTTTTTTTATCGCAAACATGTTCTAAGCATTTCGTTTTGTTCAGAACACACATTTTCAGTTTTTGGTCGTGTCTCGCCCAGAAGAACAAAATGAACACACACAAAAATGCAGAGAGAAAAAAACACAATTTTGTCATAAACATAGAAGACACAGTTTGAATTACTCATTTAAACAACAAATTGTTTTGTGATTAGGCGTGCAACTGACTTGCGACTCATATTGCAACGAATCTTGCTTGCTTGTTTTTTATATTTCATTTAAATCACTTTGATTTATATTGCATTTGCTACTTTTTCCATTGTTTTCTAAATGGAACAAGAGACAAAGGGGGTGAATGCCGTATACAAATAGAGCAGACAAAGAAATTCGTAATTACCATACACTATTCGGAATCCTTCGATTTTATGGCGTTGCAACAACCCTTCTTTTCCTTCTTTTTCTCATTCATTGCCATTGTCGTGAAATGAGTAACATTTTCAACAATTGAAAAAATAAAATAAAATCTTCCGGCCCACAATTTACTTTCGACCTTAATTTTTGGTACCTTTCTTTGGATTATATCGGATTGTGTTGATTGAAATGAAAAGTTCATTACATTTGAACTGTGTGCAGCTTCACATTAAAATCTATTTTAATGACTTTCACCCAAAAACTCTGAAGGTGAACGCAATTGATTTACAGGTTCTTCAATGAATTCATGCAATAAAAAAATATTCGTGTTGAAAATTGCTCGTGCCGATCGGAGAGTTAGACGACAAAAGAATAAACATTTTACGAAGGACATGTCTCTATTACTTCAGTTTTCTTTGTTGGTATTTCGAGAGAGTTGCACCAGCAGCACCAAAATCTCTGAAGTGAACGTTGTGTGTACATTTGATGGGCGTACGTGTGTGTCCAGTGAGCGAGAGAGAGAGAGAGAGAAAGTGAGTAGAGAAAAAAGAAGAGGCAACGAGAGCGGCATAGGCAAAAATGGCAAAAAATACTACAAGTGCATTCGGGTGTGTGCATGCTGAGCGCGTAGTACAAATCTGTGACAGCATGACATATTTCGATAGTTGTGTTGGGCTCTGTCTCTGTCTCTCGATGCTTCGGCTTTGTGCCAAAATGCAACCAATCGTGAATCACGATTGTTATCGAGTTTTGTTTACAGTTTATGTGTTTTTTGTGAGCCGATTGGCTCACCGGGTCGCCTGAGACACCGAATGTCGACAGCCAAGTGTGAGAGAAAATTACGCTTGTTGTTCTCAAAACCCAAAGTTTATTTGCACTTTCGATGCGGGATCTTTTGTTCATCACAATTTTACGTTCATTTTTTTCCTTTGCCTTTTTTTTGTTATTTGCTACTTTTAAACGCGCACTAGAAAAATAAAACAATACACCGGAGTGAGAGAGAGTCAAAAATTGCTTCTTTTCGATGGGGCGTTTAGCCATTAACAAATGACATTTTGAGAGAAGAACAACAGTGAAGAAAAAATTTGCATCGAGTAGCGATCTGGCATTGATATTTACTGCCTTTTTTTATGACACCGTATTGTTCATGTTTATTGCCAGCCGATTAAACAGAACAAAAAAAAGAAACAAAATTGTAAATAGTCACTCACCTGAACTAGGTCTATCACTGTATCGCGTGCAATAAATCCATGCTGGCCAAAGTTGAGATCCATTTTCGTCTTTAGTGCTGCCTGTTTCCGATTTTGTATCATCCGACGACTCCATGCCCGAGTCCAAACTGTTCGATTGATGGTTTTTCGTTGTTGCCGTCGTTGGTTCATTTGACATGGACGATGACGTTGAAACGGTTGCTGATCTTGAATCACTCGACACCGAGCCCGTGCTTGGCACATTGTCCAATTGTGATGAAGGTCGTTTGAGTGATTTTTTACTGGGTGAAGACTCGGAACGGGCTGGTGATGTTAATTTACTGCCGCCGCTGCTGCTGCCATTCAATGATGATGGTGGCGTTGGACTTTGGCCGATTTGCGACACGGTTTTGCATAAATTGCCCAACGGTGGATATTTGGCGAGAACACTATCGGTTAACAGTCTTGTTTGATAATATTGCTGGTATTGGAGACTTTTAGCCAATGCTTGGGTATGCTGTTGCTGCTGCTGGGTTTGATGATAGAAATCGGGGTAAAGCGGCGATCGATGATGTGCATCCAACGGACTACCATCCATAAAACCATGAGTACCAGCACGATGAAGCGATTGCTGAGCTACGGCCACCGCCGCCTGATAATGCGATAATAGCTGCTGTTGCTGATGTAAATGATGCTGATGCACTTGCTGTTGCGGCGACAATATTGTTTGCGCAAGACGATGCATATCGCTGCCTGGAAGTGCGTTACTGAAATCGATAGCAACATTTTGATGGAATTTTGCCCGCTCATCCGTCACATCAATCTCCTCTTCATCGTCATCGTTATCTGTAATAAATGGCAGAAATGATGCAACACAAATTAGTGTTATCAGATTCCAATTGGAATTTGGTGAAAATTTTATTCATTTTTGAAATGGAGTCAGCGTTTAATGAACGTTTGAAAGTCAGAAAAAAAAACAAAGATTCAACTTGCTTCTGATTATTGGAAATACCACTTGATTTTCGTTTTAGATGCTCTTTTAACATTCGAAAGAACGTTTTGATTGAATAATTTGAAAATAGTTTTTCCGAAAGAGTTGTCCAAAAATTCGAACAAATTCCAAAAAATCAATCGAAATTTCCAATAAACAAAATGTATTTTAATCGATTCCAATATCTTTCAAACAAGGAAATTCAATTGAAAAGAGATAAGGAAATTCAAATGTCTTCCAAAAGAAAGCAACTAACTAATAAAAAAAACCGTTAAAATGTCATTCTGTTGCTAGATGTGGATTAAATTCAGCCATTTATAGCATTTCATATTTTCAATGCAAAATACGAAACACATTTGTCAACAATTCGATTCGAAGGAACTTCAATGAAAACCATGTTCATTCACACTCACCATTTGATGCTTCATCGTCGGATAGTGGTCGTCGATCATGTTTCGGTTGTTTTGGTGATGTTGCACCACCACTTTCGCCGCCACAATTATCATCATCGTATGGTCGAAATAAAACACTATTTTTCTTTTCACTAATCACTTTGTTATTGTTATTTCGATTTATTTGATTGTTATTGTTTGTGGGCAATTTTGTGGTGATTGCATTGCCAAATGTATTGCTCAAAATGTTTGTGATTGAGAATGCGATGGGTGTGTTTGGTGTTTGTTGTCTGGCTGATAATTTGTCCATTTTTGATCGTTCGTCGTGTTTCTCTTGCTTAATGTTTGAATTGTTCAACAACAACGACGACGATGGTGATGTGCTGCACTGTTCAATGCCACTTGCATTGCACATTTGTTCGGCTGTTGTTGTAACTGACGATGATGTTACCGGCGGCGCCATAGACATCTCTTGTTCGATAGTGAAACTATACATGTTTGTACGAAGAGAAAAAAAAATTTCGTCATGAATAACAAACCCAATTTTGATCAACATAACAAATCAATTCCAAGCCGAATTGTGATCATGGAAAGTTTATTTGAATGTTATTGGGGAAAAAAATCTAAGTTTGTTATTGATAGCAAAAACATTTTTTTTCTTCCCACATACCCGTTTGTATTGTAAATGTTCTGCGAATCGGTTCCGTTGGTAACCAAAACGATCGCTGTTTTTTGTGGTGAATGCGGTATACCCGGTGGACTTGGAGCACTTTGTGGACTACAACGATCTTCGAATGCCATTTTCATGCACTTGTTCAAGAGTGAAAAAAGTCACTGTCGTCACAAAACTCGCGATACTCACACACACACTCCACATACGCTGCTCTTGCGGTTGCCAACAAAGTTAAGACAACCGACCAAGAGAAAAAAAAACCACCAAATTTTTTTTGAAGCACACAGTAAAATCAGTTTAGATTTAATAAATTTCCTCTTTTGAAATGTTGCTGCTGAAACAGTCAATAAGGGAAACACTTAGACATGCACTTGATTCCAGAACTTTTTAGAACACTTGAATTTTTGGTTTCTTCAGATTTGTGTGTTGGCTCGCACGTTGGTCGATGCACAATGTATGAATAAGGTGAAATTGAACAAAACACGATCCGTTTCGTTTTGCGCGCTTCGAGAATTTATTCTGTATGACGTGACACAGTCAAATGTCACCTGTAATCTGACAGACAGTTGAGTAAGAACTCATATTCAACGACTAAATTTGTTGTGTCTCTATTAAACATAATCTTCGTTTTGTTGTGCTGTGTGTGTGTGTGTATGCGTGCGCCGTGCGAGTGGCGTGTATGCATGTATTGGTGTTGTACCAAGCACATGGTAACGCCCCCTTTTTCGTCTCTCTGCACAACGTTTGGCTCGGTGCGATTCAATCCCTCAGAATGCATGAGCAATGAAAAAGCGTGACCGTATAACGGTGAATGCGTTGGAAAGAGATGCAAAGCGCTCGTCAGCCTTTGCGCACTTAACAAAGGTGGAGATTCAATGGTTGCACACATGCACACACCACTCTTGCCTCCCTGGTGTGAGCATGTGTGTGCGGCCGCGCACGATGCGTGTGTATGTTTGTGTTCCAATTTGATGTTTGAATTAGCAGGCTCAAGTCTTAACTTTCGTTACAATCGGATGTTGCCGTTCATATTAAGATCGTAAATACAAATGAATGCTGTTAGTTGTGTAGAGATCGAGCAGCATGCGATGCGTATGGCCAGTATGCGCGGTTGTGTATGCATGTGTGAGCTTGTTGACAGTTTATCAACGTTATTGTTTCTGCTTGAGTTCTTCTCTCGCTCTCTTTCGATTTGCGCTAGAGTGGCATGAATCCAGTCCTTTTTCCATCTTCGGTGGCCAACTGATTTTCAACATAAAAATCAATTCAGACCGATCCACTCTATGCCACTCCGTTCGCATTCCATCCAATTTTCTGTAATAAGCTTGTTTGCTGCCAAACCATATTCTTATTCAGAATGAGAAACGGAGAGAAAGTGTGAGTATGTGTGCGAGTGAGTATATATGTGTGTGTGTGTGTGTGTGTGTCGAGTTTAAATGTTCAGAGGGGGCTGGACTTCGGCCAATCTATGCAATGTACTTGCCACAATACAGCTATATTATACACAGATGTGATAATTTCGGATTAGTTGTTGTTGTATTTTGCGTGCGCTGCTATGAAATTATCCATTTATACTTTATTACATTATCAATGTTTTCCACCGCATCTATATAGATCTATCTATCTATAGCGCGTATATTTATCTCGTGCGTAGAACGTTGCAAATATCGAGAGAAAGAGTGTGTGTGTGCTTAATGTTTAATTCCTTTGAAATGTTCACATCTCATTCAATCTTCCGTTTGCTTCGATTGCAACGACAGCATTCTTCGTTTGTTCATTCTGTTGTGCACTTTTTTCCGTACGTTGGTTCGTTTGGTTCTCATTAAACTCTTCAACTGTGGTTCTTTTCACTGGCAGCAGCAGCAGCAGCGGCGGCAACAGCCGTCGCGGCTAAGCGAAAAAAATGAGCAAATGGTCTCGTGGATGTATACAATTTATGGAACCAAAGTGTTTTCTTTTTAACTGAAAATAACATGCACACGTATACACATCACAGACATCACAAGAAGCTTACCGAACCGCGTACGAAGCACATTCTTTGGAGAGCGGCCAACTACAACGACCGACCATCAATGCGAACAAAGTCAAAACTAAACAACTTTATTTTTTATTTAATATAAATGTATACACACACATACCGGGTATTATACACTCAATGAATGCGCGTAGTCACATGTAATTTTTTTTTATTTTAAGTGAAAAGCAAAGCGATATATTCATAAAAAAACATGCGGAGACAGAGAGATAGGGAACGATACGGGAAAAAACGGCAGAAATCATAACGAACGACAAAACGCAACGCACACAGGAATTCCTTGTGACTTTCTACCCGACAAACAATGATATTAAATTGAATTGGCTGAAGTCAAACGATCTTTATTTTTTTCACTCGCTGCTTTCATTATATTATTTATTTACGAAGCAGCTTGGCGTGTTTTCAGCACTACATGAAATGTAGAGCCACTGATCTGCTTTTTTTTCCTAGATACTTTTTGAGTGTTGAAAAAAATTATGGTGAATTTGAATTGTATGCTCATATTTTTTATTAAATTCAAAACAGTGGCAGTAACGACAAATAAGTGTATAATATCTCAAATCGCCAATCAAATTTTTATTATCAAATGTTGTTTAAAAATTACATTAATTTTTCGTATAATATTTTTTGAGTCTTGACCAGAATTAAAGTGATTTTAGATTCTATGCTCATATTATTTATTTAATTTAAACCAAAGGCAGTGTATTTCAAAAAAGAAATTAAACCAAGATCTTGTAATTCATTTTGCAAACAAATATATTACTTCAAAGTTACTTTGATGAAATACATTTCATGTAGTGAGTCAAAAAATAGTTTGTTGTGAAACAACAAAATAGATTAAGTAACTAAAAACTCAAGAACACAGAGCGGAGCGAAGCGAAGTTTGTTTTTGTTTTTCCTCCTCTGCGTTGTTGTGTTCGTTTCTTGTCGCTCATAAATTGCATTGCTCTCGCTTACATTTTGTGACTGCCGTCTTGTTCTTTACGTGTCGACATTGTGGCCGCCACTTCTTTTGCCATTACATTAAACGTGCTAACTATTGAACTTCGATAATTGGAATCAGTGAGAGAGAGAGAGAGAGAGAGAGAGAGAAATACCTTTGACGTCGTGTGCACATTTCATGCGTACGTAATTCAAATGATGAAATAATACCCAAGCGCATATTGACAATGTTAGGCTCCAAACGCTGAGCTGCGCTGTGTAGTGCGCTGAGATGCAGCACTGACCGAATAATGCACCGACATTCTATTGAATTATACAGTCGAGGGAACGGAGAGAGAGAGAGAGAGAGAGACGCACAGATTCAATACCAAATGAAATCATTGGCCAGAAGATTGAAATTGTTCACAATTGACTTTTGTCTGTGGTGCAACATGGCACTGAATCCATTTGACACGATCACCTTCTTCGTGCAGATGTCTCTATTTTTCACACATTCCCGATCGAAATGCAGTTTTCTGTTGTCTGATCAAGCCACAACACACTTTTCTTCTCGTTTCGTTCATGAGATTCACTCATCACATGTGCCATATTCACGAGCATTGAGAATTTCAGTTTGAGAGGGAATGAAACGACCTTTTTTTCTAGTACGAAAGCGCGATGTTGAATAGAAATAGATGTCATCGTCGATACGATTGACTTTCGATATGGAATTAACATAACGATACACACGAACATTCCAATAATTATCATCAACATTTCTATATCAACACAGAGAGCTTTTGAGATAAATGCCATTCGATAGAAAACCTATGAAAAAAATAGAATACAAAAAACAAAAGGCCCAGTGTAAGTTGGCCGCCGACGGTTTAGCCGCCGACGAAAATCACTCTTGGCCGCCGGCGGCCAAATGTAACTTTATGAAAATTACTTTTGGCCGCCGGCGGCCAAGTGTGATTTTCGAGAATTTTTTGGGCCGCCGAAAAAATTGTTTTTGGCCGCCGGCGGCTAAGAGTCATTTTCAGGAATTACTTTGGCCGCCATTAAAAACGCGTTTTGGCCGCCGATGACGAATTAGTTACAGAATGCAGAAAAATGCTATTTCCTAGACTCACGGTTACTCTCATTCATTGTAATTAATTGCTGATCGAAATAAAATGGTAATACCAACAGAGGTGGAGAGAAGAGCGCAGAGGACCTCACTCGCGCACGCTCGTTCGGTCCTCTGCGCTCTCCTCTCCACCTCTGTTGGTATTACTATTTTATTTTATTGCAAACTGTGAAAAAATGGTACGGTCAGCAACGGTTAGAAGTACCAGAGGACCAAATGAGCGCGCGCGAGAGTGAGCGTTGCTGATCGTACCATTTTCACATTTTAGTATGAATAGTTCAGTTTAGTACAAGAGAGCACAGGTCGTTCTAGAAAATAGCACTTTTCTACATTCTGCTTGGAAACCACTGAAAATGCGTTTGGCCGCCGGCGGCCAAGAGTAATATTCAATATAAACTTTTGGCCGCCGTTAAAAACGACTCTTAGCCGCCGGCGCCCAAAAGGTATTTTTGATATTACGCTTGGCCGCCAACGGAAAATCACTTTTAGCCGCCGGCGGCCAAGAGTAATTCTTTTGAAAATCACTTTTGGACGCCAGCGGCCAAGTGCAATTTTCCGTCGGCGGCTAAAAGTTAGGCGGCCAAGTTGCCTATCCCCAAACAAAAATCAGAATCAAAAGAATTGATCTTTTTCTTCAATTTTATTGAGAGAATATAATATATTTAGCATTTTCCTTTCCATAGCATTATTTGTATGCAATCATTATATGTAGATAAAAAGAGAAAAAATGCATTTTGTTGGGATCCAATAACAAGTTGCAGCTGTCAAAAGACGCACGTTTCTACTAATTCGAAAAAAACCCTATCTCCGTTGCTGTTGCTGTGACAAAGGATATTTATCGGAACGGTGTGAAAATGGTTAACTCTTTAAATCAAAGCAATTTCAAAACAATCATTTTTCAATATTGAATTGAATATTCATATATTATTAGGGATGTAAAAGCCTATAACTGTATTAAAACACAACATACACAACTGAATATTACATGAAAATATAGACTGAATAATTGATGATGGAAAAACGTTATAAAAGCCGGGTCTACATTTTACGTGGTTTTTCCTTTGAATTTTATGGTGACTTGATTTTCCACATTTCACCGAGAAATTTTCCAACGTTTCTTCGAGTCAATTGACGTATTAAGTCAATTAGATTGACGTATATTTTGTATTTCTCTCCAACGTCGTCAATTTCTCATTGTTGTTTCTGTTCAAATCGATAATTGTGATAAAACATCATAAATCCATTAAATGTTACTTCATGGGATGTGCTTGTAATTTAGCTCAAATTGGATTTGCTCATAGTTGGTTCAGTTTCACAGTATTTTGTTTTCAGTGACATGTTTTTTTCGCTTTTTTTCTCTCATTCTGCAGCTGATTGGCATTTCTATCTGTCATCGTATCGAAGACGAACCAGTAAACGAATACAATGACAATCAAATTGTCGAAACGTTGATGATGATGATGACGCCGAAGAAAAAACAACGGAGCCATGGCTT